ACCACTTGCGAGCAGAAAAAAAACACAACTCAACGAGTTCAAACACGTCACAAAACCGATCTTCTCGCTTCTCAACAAAGCACACCGCGGACGCTAGCAAAGAAGTCCCCCTAGGCCTACTCTACCCCGGCTCTAAACAAAAGTACCGAACCGCGATAACTGTCGTTCGGTGCTACAAAAGCTCTACGTTGGGCGCCAGTGTGGGGGGGTCTCGAATTGGCGAACGCCACACTCTTGGAGTGTACGGACACAGCAGACACGGTCGGAACAAACCAAACAACACACATTTGTTTAATTAATTTAGAACGACGATATCGTCGGCCGAATTATTGTACATGAACTGTGATCATACGTTAAACAACCTTACACAATACTCCAAAACATGACAAACACAATAACACATCCAAGGCGGCGGCGCCAACGCTTGACTTACCATGAGGGCTCCCGACGCGCAACCCGCAATGCCACACACCGGGGACCCACGCCAAAGACAACCGTTCGCGGCAACTGCCACGGCATCCCCGAAATACGGCTTCTGTGCGAGACGCATGCACCACGCGGCGCAAACAACTTTACATGAAGTGTCAGCATCTATGCCCTTCTGCGGTTGGCCCACTGCCGTAGGTACTGCCGGTGCCGCCACTTTTCTCCGCTGCATCCAAAGTAGCAACCACCACTGATGCCATGCCCACTTGCAACATGGCCTATCGTTGACATCGCTGTCACCTTTGCCGCTGTTATTGCCAGTGCTGTCGCTTTTGCCGCCGTTACTGCCGCCGTGGATTTGGTGCCGGTAGAACTCTGGTCCGGACCGATCCCTGTTGACCCCCGCCCCTCAGGTCGTTGGTGGATACTGGGGGTGGCCAGTCTGTGACAGGTCTTGTTCAGCACTGGCCCCCGGCCGCCCTCTCCAGCAGTCTGGGCTGCAGCAAAGGGTCAGGGCTCCCCCGGTCCGGCAGGCTCGAGAGTCACCTTCGGCATGCCACGCCATAGCCTTGAGGTAGCAGAGGCCATAAAGGTGTCCGGACAACCATGGTTCGGCTAGGTAGGCTTGTGCTTGTGACAGTGGCTCCGACGCAGCTTGCTCTACCGGCTGGGTTGGCGGCTGGTCACCCTGGTGCCTCTTGCATAAAGGCTCGATGATGAGGGCGATGGGGTAGATTGGAAGTAGCGTTGCTTGGTTTGGTGGGGCCGCGATGCCGACATGGATGGTGTTGGTAGTGATCTGTCGGGAGGAGCGGTTTCCTCTCCGAGCTGTTCCGGTGCAGCTCTTTCCCTTTCGAATCTCCATCTGCTCGGTGAAAGTCGACACAAAAAAAAGGACAGGTTAGCAATCGCACGCGTGTTGTGTGCGAACCATTGCATGTCGCGTCGAACATATCAAATGTGGCGTGCCGTGGAGAGTTGTCTCTGCCTGTTACACAGGAACTAACGCGGTTCTGGGTTTCCTCACTCGATGTCGAGTGATCTCACTCGCCGCCTGCGGCCAGGAGGAGGACTGACTGTAGTCTTCGTGCTCCTCCGGTGGCACGTAGCGTTTCAAGTCACATACATGCACTGGTCCGCCGCTCGGTTTGCCTTTCATGTTCGCTAGCTGATAAACGAGCGAGGAGTTTGTTTGACAAAGGGATGTCTGCTGGTCTGCGCGATATGATCAAAGAGGAGCTCTCATCCATGGCTTGCATTCTCCCATCCAACCCTCCGACGCCATCAACACCACCGATGAACGATGGCGTAAGTCGCTGGTGACCCCCATGCACCTGCCTTTGGTTCATTTTGCGCATCCGTTCCTGCACAGTCCGATGTCGCAGCATTTGCACCACATTCGTTTGGTCCAGTGACTGTGCCAGCTTCAGCATGCAATGCCCTCGTGGCGCTCGCCTCGCACATATGTGACTATTGTGGCATGCGGGCCATATTTCATGGATTTGCCGCAAACACCAGCAGGAGGAATGCTGCGACTAACGCCCTTTTGCGAAAGAAATTTCGCTGCTTGCGCAGCTCATCGAAACTTTGACATAGCTGAATCACGGTCGTGACGTGACATAGCTGAATCACGGTCGTGACGGTCTGTAGGTCTTTGGCCACAAGCATATGAAAAGCATCGTCATCAATGTCTTTCAATGTATTCTTTATTCTGCCAGCCTCTGTCATCCTCGCATCAACTCGCCTACAGAGCCTGATCTCATCCTCAATGTAGCTCGTGAAGCTCTCACCATTTCGCTGAAATCGTCCCCATAGGCCCAGTTCAGCAAGAAGCTTGCGCATGGCTGGACGACTGAAAAACGAGGTCACGGCCTCTTTGAAAACCGACCAGGTGGGGATGTCGGCTTGGTAGTTGGTGAGCCATAGGTTGGCCCCAAATCCGTCAGGTAGAAGATGACGCGAGTCAGCTTCGCAGGGTCATCCTACTTAATCGCGCTGGCACGCTCGTACTCTGCCAGCCAGTCCTCGATATCATGATTTTCAGTGCCGTTGTATACTGGTGGGTCAAGCAGCCGAAGTACATCAGGGCCATCAACACCACCGATGACGTATGCGTAAGTCGCTGCCATGCCACCTGCTTTGGTTCATTTTGCGCATCCGGTTCCTGCACAGTCCGATGTAGCAGCATTTGCACCACATTCGTTTGTCCCAGTGCCTGTGCCAGCTTCAGCATTCAATGCCCTCTGGCGCTCGCCTCGCACAATATGTGACTATTGTGGCATTCGGGGCCATATTTCATGATTTTGCCGCAAACACCAGCAGGATGAATGCTGCGACTACGCCTTTTGCGAAAGAAATTCGATGCCTTCTCCAAACCAGTACCAGCGCCGCCCTATGACACGTTCCGTCTCTGCGTCACTCTCCACCCGATGCGCCCCGCTCCTACCATCTGAGATGCCACCCGTCCCCTTCCCCTCTGTGACGCTCAACATCTCCAAGGCCGGCTGTGCCTGCCTCTGACTATCACTTGGAAAACTAGCTGGTGCAGTTTTTAGAGGGAAAGCTGCATTGCTCGAACAAAATGCCCAAGACCTCCAGAGTGCCTAGCCAATTTGTTATTTGTGTATGCAGCAGGGGTGCCAGCTCAAGCATTAGTGGACATGGGGGCTGCTATTTTTGTTATTCATGCGAATTTGTGTTGTCTACGTAAGGTTACCACACCTTATACTGGCACTTTCTTACGTAGCGCAGATGACTTGCAATACGGCCATCAGCACAGTGTACCATTAGAGTTTTCATTGATGAAATATGGTACGATATTCAGTTTACTGTGTTGTCTTCTTGTGCTCATATGCTTATTTTAGGATGGGACTTTTTTTTGTAATGCTGCTGCTGCTTCGATCTCTTGTCAGCAACTCATATATATGCGAGAGACTGATGATATCTCCCCAAAATCCTCTCGGAACTGGCTACAAACAGTCAACGACTTTCATGTGCCACCTGGCCACGAGCATGTTATCACTGTTAGGTCGGACTTCATTGACCACAATGACGTTCTAGTCACTCGATCAGCCCGTTCTCTACCCAGAGGGATTGCACTTGCATCGAGTCTTATCCGCTTCACCAACAGCACCGCCTTTCTACCAGATTGGCCAATGTTGTTGTCTACCGGAGCATAGTGGCACCAGCTCTGTGCCAGCGTGAAAGAAGACGTTGACGTTCATGTCAACACGCTGTAGTCAGGACCACTGCTTTTGCACTCCAAAGCCAAAATATCCGCTGTTTGCATATTAGCGCGACGTTTAGAAATTCGCTGCTTGCGCAGCTCATCGAAACTTTGACATAGCTGAATCACGGTCGTGACGGTCTGTAGGTCTTTGGCCACAAGCATATGAAAAGCATCGTCATCAATGTCTTTCAATGTATTCTTTATTCTGTCAGCCTCTGTCATCCTTGCATCAACTCGCTTACAGAGCTTGATCTCATCCTCAATGTAGCTAGTGAAGCTCTCACCATTTCGCTGATATCGTCCCCATAGGCCCAGTTCAGCACGAAGCTTGCGCATGGCTGGACGACTGAAAAACGAGGTCACGGCCTCTTTGAAAACCGACCAGGTGGGGATGTCGGCTTGGTAGTTGGTGAGCCATAGGTTGGCGCCAAATCCGTCAGGTAGAAGATGACGCGAGTCAGCTTCGCAGGGTCATCCTACTTAATCACGCTGGCACGCTCGTACTCTGCCAGCCAGTCCTCGATATCATGATCCTCAGTGCCGTTGTATACTGGTGGGTCACGCAGCCGAAGTACACCAGGGCACATGACAGGCGGCAGCGTGAAAGAGGCTTGTGGGAGATCGACACGCTCGGTCATCACGGACGCTGATGGTAGCTTACGGGTGCGGAGCTCCAGGACCTTACCTAGCACGTTTCCACCAAATGCAACGAGCGAGGTTACGTGAAAACACAGGTTATTATTCGAGAAGGGTTAGGTGCAACAAGCTGATACAGGTGTTGGTGGCACAGCTGGTGGTGTTTTTACGTAACCTCGCTCGTTGCAGTTATGTTTCTTTCATGCTGGATTCATTTTTCTCCCCTTCTTTTGATTCAGAGTTCTTCGTTCTATGGGCAAGTGCACCATCTTTGTAAAAGTGTGTCAGGTGCTAAACGTGTGGTCTTCCTTAATACGGGGTTTGTGTCGTCAACCGTGCCATGCATGCATGTACAACTTCCATGATGGCTTGTTGCTGTGACCCAGCTATCTTGGGGGTGATAGCTGATGTCTTGTGATGTGTTTGAGTTTCAGTTTTTTTTTTTTACATTAATATATAGTTCGGAGTTGGTGCCAGTCCTCTGTCCTCGTATGTTTAGGCACCGCACAAGAACAGTGAAAAGAGAGGGGACACGGACGACTATTCTTTAGCAACTTTCAACACTTTGGCTCTGTGCTGGTGTTGTCCACGAATATTTCTTCAAAAATGTTGTAGTGGTTTAGGCAAGACCTTAACTGACAAAGGCTAGTGAGCAGCAGACTGCAAACACTGTGTTTTCATTGGTGTCTGATGTGATGTGTGTGCGCAGCTGAGGGCTCTCCAGAGGACACCCTCCACGCGCCTCCGGTCGATTCAGCCCATCGCACAGTGCCCCTGCAAAGTGCCTTTGTGCCCCCTGTTGTGGCCTCGACAGCTGGCCAGCAGCCTCCCACTCAGGTAATCACTCTGCTTATCGCAGTGCCCCCCTTTTTTTTGGCATGGCCAGTATGTATGATCAAATCATTCTAAGCTCGGCGGGGTTTGTGTGAGATCCACGGAGACTTTCCACTCTGGGAACACAGGGACACAGTAGATGCGGTCATGCGAACAAACAACAGTTGTGCATTAATTGATTTGCTTTTACAATGACGTTATTTCCAGCCGAACGAACCTAGCTATTACGAAATATTGGTTATAACAAAGGTAAAAAAGAACATTTTTGTAAAGAATACTGTGTTATAATATGTGTTAATAACGAATTTCGGGATATAAACCTATTTTTGCATTAGACGCCACTTCTTTATAAAGAGGTTTGCGTGTACATCACTAGTGACACGCTAAACAACCTTATACAATATGCTTATACAAAACTTAAAATAAATTTAACAAGGTACTGTGAATGTGGTGTTGCCGACGGTGTCGCCGATCGCGAACGCCTGCAACAGACGTCCATCTTTGCTAGCAGTCGTACACCCAGGAGACTTCATAACGTCAGTCGTCTGACCGTGTGTCTGTCAATGCACAGCACATGCAAAGTACCCACTACACGCCCTCCATAACGAAGTAGGAAAGCACCCACTATGCCATTCTGCTGATGAGTGGGGTACACATATATATCTGTAAGGTGCATTTTGTGCTGTTTCTGATTACAATTAAGAACAAGTGCGTTCCAGGCCACACATTTTTTTTTCTGCCATGGAATAAAACAAACGTGAACATGCTCTCGCCATCGAAAGGCAGCGCAAGTGCAGGGAACAAGCTAGCCCAGAGGCAAGAGTTCGGGAAGCCATGACAAAGTGGCAGTGCCGACCAGTGATGTTCCGTGCAGGGAATTTTTCCTTTTTCGAGAAGTTTTTGCCTGTCATTTTCAGCCAAAGGGAAAAGGGAATCTTCGTGATATTGTAAGGAATTTCAGAAATGGTTAAATTCTCCTATGACAATCGATAATTAGCAGTCACAGTGTGCCTTCAACATCTGTACTCGGTTGTGGCACATGTATCGCGCAAGCATATCCCTTCGGATTTGTTAATGATATTTACACGGTGTGATTTCTAGCTCACTTTTGTGTTAGACTTAAGGCCCACAATGTGCAGTGTACTAACAATATAAGAATGATTAAACTCATGCTTTCGTTGTGTGGCAGTGGAAAGGTTAATCATGATTTTAAAACTTACCATCTACGTCAGACACGTGTGAATATACTATGTGTCTGCATGGATCGGGTCAAAAATTAGTACTGTTGTGTAGGGAAATATGCTGGAAATTTCCTCATTGTTTGCAGGGAAAAATCTCCAACATAGGGAATTGTCATGTCTCTGAATGGGAATTCTTCGGCGTAGTACGGAACATCACTGATGGCGACCACTGGCCTCGATTAAAAAGGCTGGACGATGCATCGTGATGCGGGTGCTTGTGAAGCCACGGGAAAGTCCCTTCATTGTCCCGGAAGCTGGCGTCTTCTGGGCGATTTGGGCGCGTAATTCGAATACTATCTGGTGGCAGTTGATAAAATTCTAGCGGTCATTCGATGCTATATCAGGAATGACAAACACCATAGTGACGTCATCCGAATACGGTGCTATGCTGTAAGCTACAAATAATGCATGCAACAAACCCCACGATTGCGCATCACTTAGAACACGGACTAATGCTACACAAAAAACGGCAGACACCGTACGGACACCTTCCCGAATGTGGCAAACTGTTGTAAGCTACAACTAGTGCATACAAAAAACTCTACGATTAGGCATCATTTTTAATGCCGACTAACACTACAAGAAAAATGACAGATCCTGTACCGGCGCCTTCTGAATACGGCTGATTGTTGTAGCGTACAACTTTACAATCGCTCATCAGTCAGGTAACAAAAAAAAAAAAAAAACCATGGTCACGGAATTTTTCCACACACACAAAAAAAGGAACAATGAGTGCAATAATAGCTAGGAGTGCAGCGCTTTGTGCTTTGTTAGTGATTTGGAAAAGAAAACAGCATTGGGTTGGCATTGCTTTGAATATAAGTTTTTGCAGCCGAGTGGTCAGAACATGACTCGGCAAAATGGCCACTTAAACAGCTGCTTTCTTTCTGGAGACGGCGTCCAGTTGTCCCTCTCTAAGTTACTGACCCACTTCTCGTATATTTGAGGCCTCGGGCGGGGGCAAACTGCATATTAAATAGCCAAACATCCTTCAACACAACTTTAAAAAAAAAACAGAGATCAACTATCATAATTTCCTCACAGGCTATGTAAAAAGTTTGACGTGGTTTATTGACACTGGACGTCAGGGAAGCTCAACAAACATTCACCGTAAAGCGTTGAGGAGCGACGAGCGTCAAGCAGCCAAAATTCGGGCAAGTGCGAGCTCGAGACTGGTGCTATTATTAACACTGGTGCTTGCTTGCTCGTGTTTTTCGTCGTCGTCTTTTCTTCACTACATTTGCCCACGGGGAATAGAGGAGCCATCCTGGCGACTTAAGGCATTGGTAGTATAGCTGGGTCATAATAGGGCTTGATGTAAGGTACGTGGACGATTTCTCAGGCACATTGATGCAAATCGTCAGATGAGGCCGAAAGCTTAACCTCGTAATTAAAGAGAGAAGTTTGAGCAAGAATGCGTGTAGATGGTAACGTCGTTACATGGGCGATTTCTCGGGCACATTGACGCAACTCGTCAGATGAGGCCTAAAGCTCGACCTCGTAATTGAAGGGAGAAGTTTGAGCGAGAATGCGGCAGCATGAATGCGTGTAGACGGCAACGTCGTATGCCAGTGGGCTTGCATCGCAGAACAAGTGCAGTTCAAAATGTGTAACCTCTTGAGAAGTTGAACAAAGGACGCTGCGTGGTATGTTCAGTGAGGAGAGCATCTGTAATTTTAAAGTCCAACTTTCCCACTGCGTCTGCATGTCTTTCGCTAATGGATCGTCCTATGGCGAGTTGAGTCGCCACAGTTGTTGGAACAATAATTTCGCTCGAATGGCTAACGGAGCAATGAGCCCAAGTCTAGGGAACGACTGCAGAATTGTGCGTTTTGTGGCTGAATGTGCGGAGAGGTATGCCGAAACGGCATTGGGGCTGATCTTGATATTGTCGTCACTGTGATTCCATACTAAGCCGAGCAACTTTGTTCTTTCTTTGGCTTCCCCAATGTTGTCGATGGAGTTGTTGTCCTTAAGAAATTGTCGACAAAGAAGGCTCGAATTGGAGCGCCACTTTCCCAGCTCTATACCTGCATCAGCTAAAATAGTCAGTGCAGCAAGGTAGATTTCGAAAGCCTCTTCGTCGGTGGAAGCTCTCATGACGAGGTTGTTGACATAAAATGCATTCTGTAGACGCGCATATATTACTAACTCTGTCTTCTTCCAGTCTTCGATGTGATGCTGCAATGTAGCAGCCAGGAGGAATGGGCTTGAGTACGCTCCAACGGGCATACGAGTCGAGCGCCATTCGACCATGGATTGTCGGTGTCCACTCTTTGTCATTGATTCGGTTGACCCATAAAAAGCGTAGGGCGTCGTGGTCTTCTTCTCAGATGGCAATTTGTAGGAAAACCTTTCAGATGTCTGCTGTCAAATTGATTTGGTTGAGTCTGAACTCTACCAGGAGTTGCAGACTCAGCAGTCGTGGCCTCATTACATGAGATAGCAGCTTCAGCTGCAACAAGACTTTCCGGAGCAAATTACAGTTCAACAGACTCTGACATTGGTGAAGGCTCAATGTGAACTGTTTCACCTGGTGTATGGGTACCACCTACACCTACTGGAAGGTCTCGGGGTTGAAGTGGCCAGGACACTGACGAAGAAGCAGCAGACCAACGCTGCCGGCGGCGGCCACCCACGACTTGGGCGCGGGGCGCCAAGAGACAGAGATGTCCACCTCGAACAAGTGCTGATCACCAACTGATTTATTTACAACTATGCACACATAAGCCTCATTCAATATGCATTGTAGTGGTGCATGTCACAATACATCGCTGCCATTCGAGGCGCCACCTCGCAACTAGAACATAAAACGAACTTGAATAGAACAGCACAACACAACAATAACCACCTGGTTCTGAAGGATGTTGGCTTGAAGAGGCCTGTGAAGTGGCTGTCGACCTCGGAGATGTTTCCGAGTGAGGCTGCATGGACTTGCTGCATCCTTGCACAGCAGTTCGTGGTGAACTTTCAGCTTCCCAGCATCACGCTAGTAAGGGAGCAGCTCGCACCAGTCACGGTCAGCCGAGTGGATACGAAAACGGGGGAGTCCTTGACGAGCGGGGCTCGTGTGGCGGGTTCAACTGACGGTGACCGTACAAAGTAGAGCAGCTTGTCAACGACGGAGGACTCGACGCAATGATGACACAGCAAGGGGCAACGAGTCGCAATGCAACAAGCTGTAAGAACATTCCATTGTTCATGCCATATTGGCTTAGAGCTAGCAATGTATTGAGACTAAGCTAGTCAGTTTTGGTTTGTTCATGTAAGCGGATTGTTACCGTATTTACTCGATTCTACCGCGCCCTTGATTGTAACGCGCACCCGATTTCCACTGCGGAAAAAAAAAATAACGTAAGACATCGATTGCAACGCGCACCCATTTTTCTCGCTGGCCCGCATGATCACACCACTTGAAAAAACGACTCCTTTCGGGAGCGTCTTCATTTAAATTTCAGGTACGGGCGAAGCTTTGTGCCCATCTGACGTGTAACAGAGCATTGCCGTCACTGTAGTTTTACCGTGGACCGATGTCAGCACGCAAACTTGCTTCGCTCCTTTCTTCTCGACGGTTGTGGTGCCAGGCATGTCGAAGTAAAGAGGCGTCTGATCAGCATTCCCGATTTGCCCAAGCAGGTAGCCGTTTTTACGCCGAAAGTTTAGGATGAACCTCTGAAAACTTTGAAGCTTTTCATCGCACTCCTCTACAAAACTTTTCACCTATGCATGTTCCCCTTCGGAGGGAAAAGCCTTTCCTCTTCA